TTTCAATTTTAAAAATATCAAGTAATTTATTTCCAACACCCTTTACTCAAGAATTATGATTTTACTCTCTTTTACATCCTGTTTTAAACAATCAAAAAAGAAAATAAAGAATTATATAACTTTTTAGACAAGTTGTTCTCTTTTTAATTTTGATACTGAAACTTTGATTTGTACGTTAGATGTTTAGCTATAAATTTTTTAAAAAAAAATTAAGAAAAAAATAACGTACCCCAGCCGTACAAATACCCTACTTCTTTAAGAATTTACCGTATCGGCATACCCGTATCATACCCGTATCAGTACCCGCACCCATGCTTCATAGCTACTACCTCTATTAGTATTCATTGCATATGACTAAATCATCTTAATCTATTCTTCCTCAACTTATCTCCTATCGGTACTACTTCTACTCATTCTCGAATATACTTATTCCTAACCCTATCTTTTCTAGTCTTGCCACACATCCACCTTAGTATCCTTATTTGAGCAACACTCATCTTATTTACATATTATTTCTTACTTGCCCAACATTTCAACCCATATAACATCGCTGATCTAATAATCGTTCTATAGAACTTCCCTTTTAGTCTAGTGGGTACTTGTTTATCCCACAATACCCCAACTGCACTCCTCTACTTAGGCCCCGTTTGTTTTCAGAGATAGAATGGAGAGAATTGATAGTGAGGGGATTGATAGTGAGAAATTGTTAAATTATTTTTATATAAAATAATAAAACAAATAAAAAAATATAAAAAATTAAACATTAATATTTTTTTAAAAAAATTCCCAATATATAAAAAATAAAAAAATTTCTAATCCTCTCACTATTTTCTAATACCATCTCTATCTCTTCCTTACCAATCTCCCTTCCAAGGGGACTACTAATATCAAGGGATTAATAGTCCCCTCCTTATCTTTCAAAACAAACACTCCATTAGTAATACCAAGGGATTAATGATCTCAATTCCCTTCCTATAACCCCAAACAAACGGGGCCTTAAGTCACCGCGTCTTGATTCTATAAACCACATCTCCTCAAATCTCCACATCTGCCTTAAATATCAAAGCAGAAAATTTTTACTTCAAATTGTATCCTCCCTCTGCCACACAACCAAATACTTGCAAGTCAAATTTTGGTGCACAGAATCACAAGTTCCAACAAACAAAAGAGAAATGGAACTCTCAACACAAAACGGAATGCTTCTATATATGTTCACGTCCAGTCTAGAAATGCAATGTAATTCTGTTAAACAAAATAACCAATAGAAACTTCATTAATTTAAAGGCTTAATGAAGAAGCTAGCTCAACAGTCCGTTTGGCAAATTAGGTGAGAAAATAAATGAAACAATTGTGATTTTATTTATTTTTTAAAATTAATAATAAATAAAAGAAGACACATGTGTCAATTTATTTTTAATGTTCTGTATTTAGATGGTCACTATAAATATACAACAAATTTCATTTAATGTGAATTCGTTTTCTCAGCATTTCTCACCCATATCATTCAAACAAGTGATAAGAATCCTCTCTAAAAAATTTACTAGAGAAAATTTTAAAATCTGATTTGTTGATGAGCCAACTTATTTAGTTTTCATTTCAAAATCTGTAAATTTTACTAGAGAAATTGAGAAAAAAATTTCCCCTATAATCTCAAATTTAATATTGATTTCATTTTATAGATCTTAAAGAATAAAGAGGATATTTAAAAAAAAAAAAAAAGGAAATAAAAAATAAAATAAAAAAAATTGTGTATTATAAAAACAGCAACAGCCAACAAGAGATTGAAAGAAAGAGAGAGGAGAGCAAGACGAGACGAAAGAGGAAGAGGAAGAGGGAGAGATCGAGCGAGAGCCAAAGAGAGAGTGAGTGAGATCGAGTCTATCAGTCCAGAGAGATCGAGCGAGAGCGAGAGGGAGTGGGAGAGAGAGAGAGTTCGTGACAGACAGAGGGAGCGAAAGGGAGAGAGAAGGAAGCGAACGGGAAAGAGAGAGGGACGAACCTGATCGATGACGACGACGCTGCTGTTCGCGAACCTGATTCGACGATGCTACTGTCCAGAGAGACGACGCTGCTGTTCCTCCTTCTTTGCTGCTGCTGGTGCTGCTGCTAGGGCTTGGTTGGTTGTTTTTTTTGGTTTTATTTTACATAACTTTTGTTATTTTACAATTTGACCCCATTGTAAGTTTTTTAAATTATTTTTTTGCCCCACCGTATCCCGAAAGTATCCGAGCGTATCCCTAAAGTATCCGAGCGTATCCCAAACGTATCTGAAATTCAAAAAAAATTTTAAAAAAAATAGGATACTTATTTGCTGTATCCAATACGTATCCCGCCGTATCGGGCGCGTATCCGTATCCGATACGCGTACGGAGGCCATTTCGGAGTATCCGTGCTTCATAGCCCAGCAACAAGCACAACCAGCGCAGAAGGGAAAAAAAAAAAAAAAGACCCAGCGAACCAACAGAGAAGAAGAAGAAGAAGAAGAAGAAGAAGAAATTCACCCAACCCAGCAACCAACAAGTGAAGAAGGAAAAAAAAAAAAAAAAAAAAAATGACCGAGCTTTGAACAACGAAGAAAAAAAAAATTGCCGATAGAGGTTCGAAGAAGAAGAAGAAGAAAAAGAAGAGTACCTGGTTCAAGAGAGAGAAGAGCCCAGTCGAAGGAGTAAAGGACTCGAAGGAGCCCAGTCGAAGGAGACAGCACAGATAAGGAATTTGATTTGAGGTGTCTTCTAATTTGGGTTGTATTGTATTGTATATGAGTTGTAATCGTATGTGTTGGAGGATATTGGAACACAATTTTGAGCCGTTAAATCTGAATTAAAAATAAACACAAAAGCCCAACTAGGCGCGCTCCTTGAGCCTCTCTGCGCCTCTCCCAGTCACATCCACGACGCGCAACTGCTCTACTGCGCCTCACCTTGGCCTCCTTAAGTCGTGCCGGCTGCGCCTTGCTTCGCCTGGCGCCTCGGCTTGCGCTTAAGCGTGCCTTTCACAACACTGCTCTTAACTTTCTTGGAAAGAGGAAAGACAAAATGAGATAAATGAGAGACAAAAGGAAACGCTGGAAAATTAAGGTTAAGGGATGGTGGTCTACAACGGACACATGGACGACTATCTTTCGGTCGGATCGGTTCCGACTGGTGAATATATCACAAACCCACTACCGCCCATGATTTTGAAAATTCACAAAGAATAGAACCGCTGCCGACCGTGCTAGGGAACAATGATAGAATCCACTAGTCCCCATAGATACTAATAAAATGGCCATTGTCCACCAAGTACTCAACTCCTTAATTAAATCCCTACCATGAGAAAGACTTCCATGCCCAAGAAGATTTAACGTTGGGGTTAGACTGGTGACTTAATTAAATCCCTACCATGAAGAAGACTTCCATGCCCAAGAAGATTCTTAATTGGGGTTAGACTGGTTACTATTTTGCAATCAACAAGGAAGTATTTGTTAAAGCCTCCAATAGCAAAGCTTGGTTAAAGGCTCAAAAAACACCAAGGTCTAACCCACCTTCTATCTTGATATAACTAAGTATGTCGCATCTTAGCCAATAAAAAGGCGTTCTACCATGCAAAGTCCACCAAAATCATGAGGAAATGGAATTAATTTTGTCACACAAACCAAGTAGCAAACAGAAAGTTGACCATGGTATACTAGAAGGGCAGCAAACACTAACCTGACAATTGTTTGTTTAATAGCTCAAGAGAATGGAAATTTCACATCTTTGGAGCTTCGAATTAATTTGATCTACAACGTATTTGAAGCATTCCTTTTTTACTGGCACCGTTGCAAATGGGCCTTGGAGCAACTGTTCAACAACATGCAGACATGCACTCTCTTGGCTTGTGCTTGGGCATGACAAAATACAAAAGCAAGTAAACCAAACCAAACTAAGCCTTAAGTCCTATCAAATGGGGTCGGCTATATGAATCCTTCTTCTCCACGCGACCCTATCAAAAGCCATTTTGTTAGTCAAATTAAGTGGATCTATATTTCTATTTACAACGCTAACCAACGTTAATCTAAGCCTAGCCCGTCCCCTAACACTTCCATCTACCATTACAACATCGCATCTCTTCACTACTGCCTCTGTTAGTCTCCGTTGAATATGACTAAACTATCTCAATCGATTCTCTCTCAACTTATCTTCTATCGATGCTACTCCTACCCATTCCCAAGTACACTCATTCCTAATTCTGTCATGTCTAATCTTGCCATACATCCACCTTAACATTTGCATCTCAGCCACACTCATCTTATCTACATGTTGTTTCTTGGTTGCCCAACACACCATACAATATCGCTGGTCTAATAGCCGTTCTATAGAACTTACCTTTAAGTCTAATGGGTATTCGTTTATCGCACAGTACTCCTGACGCATTTCTCCACTTACACCATCCCGCCTTAATCTTATGGGCCGCATCCGCATTAATCTCTCCCGCTGTTGTGATAATTGACCATAAATAACGACCTGTTCACTTTTGGGCAGTTCTTGGTTCTCAATCTTCACTTCTCCTCTACTTTCATTGTTACTATTACTAAATTTACACTTCATGTACTCTGTCTTAATTCTGCTTATTCGGAATCCTTTAGATTCAAGAGTTTTTCTCCAAATCTCCAACTTTGTATTAACTCTTTCTCTAGTCCATAATTGTCAAATCGGGATTCGAATCGTGAATCGAAATGGCCATGTACCGAATCGCAAATCGAATCGAATCGTGAATCGTAAAGATTCACTTGCGTTTTCTAAATTACATAAAAAAAACATATTTATACACTTAAATATTATAAACATGAAATATTTAGATTTAAAGTAATAAAAATGTTACTTTACATGTTGATCACGTGGTCTAAATAGGTAAGACGCTTCTATGGCAAGAGATGTGGGTCCGAGCCCCACCGTGATCCATGATCCTATGTTATATTCATGTATTTATGATATAATTTATGTAAATTCACATCACAACATATATGTATGGCAATTCACATTCATCATGAATAAGGTTCAGAACTTAACAAGTTCTAAACTTTTCAAAACTCTAATCTATACTTGTAAAGTAACTTGTGTCAAAAAGAGACCATACAAAACAAAAGTTAGATTAGACAAAGTTAAAAATTCCAAAAAGCCTTCATTTCTTCATTTCAATCTTCATCATCTCCAAGGTCAATATCAGAGTCATCCTCTTCATCATCATCTACCATAGTTACTTCATCAAACTCTTCTTCCTCTTTTTCTTCTCCACCTTCAATCAATTCAACTTCATCATCATCTTCAAATACTTTTCTTTTTCCTCTATCGATGGCATTTAAATTTCTTGGTCCTACATTAATAAAATTAAATAAGGTTATGAATGAGCAAGTAAATGTGAAAATATAGAAACTAAATCTTTGAAATTAACTTATTTAAAAATTAAAATATACAATTATACCTCTTTTTCTCTTTTTGCTAGTTGTTCCTTCATCATCTTCGAAACACTCTTGGATGTCCATCCATGAATGATCTTCGGGTAGACATGGATCTTCTTTCTCGGTAATCCATTCATCATCGGATTCCATATCCGATAAATAAATAGGATCATAAGTCTCACCCCTTTCTTGTCTCTTAATTTGCCTCAACTCAAGTTGAATGTTATACTTCACAAAAACCAAAGCATTCAACCGTTGTTGCTCCAACCGGTTTCTTTTCTTCGAGTGCACATGATCAAAAGTGCTCCAATTTCTCTCACCCCAGTGGCACTACAAGTAAGGCTTAGCACTCTAATAGTTAGCTTTTGAAGCTCTTTGCACTCTTCTCCGTAACTTTCCCACCATAGAGCTGTAATTAAATGATAAAGAGATGTTAGAGAATAATGCATGCCATTGCCAACATAATTGTTGTGAAAATGTGAATATATAATTTCATAATAAAAAATTTTACCGGGTTGTTTCTTTTCCCTTGTCAAGATGGCCATGCTCATACCAAACATACCCTCTTCTTGAACTTTTCTAATTGCTCATCAACCTTCACTCTATCCTCTATATCCGGATACATCCTCTCAATGGTTTTAAATAAACCAATTTTCACCTCCGTACGTGCATTGAAGTTTTCTTGATAATGAAACCTAGAAAGAAAGATAAATTCATAAATAAATTCCATTACACATTTTGTATATAAGTCACACAACACAACACAAATAATTTGACAAAAATAGAAAAAAACTTACATCGAATTAAGGTAATATGCCGCCGCATGCAAAGGCCTATGGAGTTGTAAATCCCATCTAGTATCAATAATTTCCCAAATGCGCTTATATCTACCTCTCACATGGTTCAAGTTTGAAGCAATTTCTTCCTTCTCTCTATCCATAGCTTCATAAATAAATCCCATTGCTGGCTTTGCATCACCATCCACAAGCCTCAAAATTTTCACCAAAGGGAGCACACACTTCAAGCAATACTTGATTGCTTTCCAAAATCTAGCATCTCCCAAGATAGTTCCTTGTGCCTTTTTTGCATTAACAGATGTAGAATAGCTACTTCTAGCCCACTCTTCCGATGCAAACATAGCTCTAAGTTGGAGCTTTCTATCTTGGAAACTTTTTAAAGTAAGGAAGGCGGTGGCAAATCTAGTAACCGCGGGTCTTGTCAACTCCCTATTCTTTGTAAATTTTCTGAACAAATCAAGCACCCAAGCATGCCTATAAATGTACACAGCGATTTCCTTGGCTTTAATTATTGTATCTTTGAAAACCGTCAACTCACCTATGTCACTCAACATTAAGTCAAGGCAATGTGCCGCACATGGGGACCAAAACAATTTAGTCCTCTTCTCTTCCAATAATCTACCGGCACCCACATGCGCCGATGCACTATCGGTTACCACTTGAACCACATTTTCTTTACCAATTTCATTCACAATGTCATCAAGCATCTCAAACAATTTCATAGAATTTTTAATTACACCGGAGGTGTCTATTGATTTAATAAACACCGTTCCGCTTGGACTATTAACAAGGAAATTAGTAAGAGAGCGAGACTTTCCATCGGTCCATCCATCGGACATTATAGTGCAACCCGTCTTCTTCCATTCTTTTCTATACGCTTCTAAACTTGCATTCACATTATCAACCTCTTTTTTCAAAAAAGATACTCTCACTTCATGATAACTTGGTGGTTTCAATCCCACACCATACTCACCAACCGACTTCAACATTTTCTTAAACAAAGGGCTTTTCACTAAATTAAAAGACAATGCATGCCCATAAATGACTCTATAAATATCTCTAATCACAGGCTCCCTTTGCTTTATCATTTGATTCAAAGTTTGTTACTTTGCCCTCCCCTTTGTGACATACACATCCATAGTTCCCCCTTTATTTTTCCCCTCGATATTTTTTTCTTCAAAACAATCAACATCTATAATGTTGTCTTGTTTTTTTCCACTTAAGAGTTGTAAAAACATATTCATAACATCTTCAGAAACTTGACTACAAGCACCAACATTATCATGAGTTCCGGCAAAATGATTTTTCATTCGAATCACTCCACCCCAATAATCTTTTCCACAATAATTACATCTCAAATACATTCTATTATCATCTTTGATACAAGTACAATGGTCCCATATTGGATCTTGTTTTCCACTTTTTTTTTTGCTTTTCATATTTTTTTTATCCATTAAAAAAAACAAAATATTTTTTTAATGTCCCACCCACACAGCAGATTCTTCAATGCTTCTACAGTCCACACAATAGACAATAATAAAGTAATGGATAATGGACAATAAAGTAATGGAAAAGGAGGAGTCTAAAGTAATATAGTATTTTATATTCCCTATTTGAAGTTTGTCTGGTAGTGTACTACCTCAAACAAAATTGCAGGTGCAAGAAGAGGCGACCAAACAACAAGAAGGGACCACGAAGTTCTGCGTCGAGAGCCACGAAGACTATACGAAGGGCCACGAAGCAGATTCCAGCAGCAAGGGACCACCAAACACTGCGAAGAGGGACCACGAAGCTCTGCGTCGAACAGAGAGGTGAGTCTTTCTAGGGTTTTGTCTGTTGGAAGTAAAAAACGATCATGGGTTACCTTGGGTGGACTGTCGTTTGGTCTTAGAAGACCAGGCGACCCATCTTGTGCCAAGAAAAAGCAAAAAAAATGGCCCAAAAATTGATTTTTTTCCATTCGGGTCCGATAAATTGGGTCGACCCGCGACAGTAACGAATCGTGCAATTCAACGATTCTTCGATTCATATCGTGAATCGATCGATTCAGATGCGATTCTGCACCATTTTCGATTCCATGTACCTATTCGAATCTATTTCTATGTGTATCGAACCAAATCGTACGATTCGAATCGCGAATCGTACGATTCTAACAACAGAGCTCTAGTCTCATCCACTAGCACTATATCATCTGCAAAAAACATACACCATGGCACGTCATCCTGAATATTTCTCGTCAACTTATCCATAACTAAAGCAAAAAGAATCACAATCCCACTATAAGCCATGAACATACTTGAAAACTTAAGAAAGTCATGCCAATTGAAGTTTGCATAATGATCTCATCAAATTTTAATAAGAACTTATTTATCCTAACTAAAAAATCGTTTGTGTAAAACAATAGATTCACGCATAAAGTAAAATGTAATAAGATGTACCAACTGATAGGATTTCCCAAGCATATCTAAATAATATTTACAACCAAATGGATGACAACTACTAGCCCAAACTTCAATTCAACCAAGACTCACCCTCACAAATCAAGTTGGGCTGAAGCATATAAAAGTCAAAATGTACACTTAAAATAATTTTTTAAATAAATAGTTTAAAGTACTTTAAATTGTCATAATTTTATTGCTAAACAGATCTTAATGTCAATCAACCAGCTCCTGAGAATGACCTGATTCAAAATAAAAGCATAAACAAAAAAATGAATATGGTGTTGTCATTTAACTTCAATCCCGTGGAATGTGCAAGAGATGAAGCAGATAATAACACAAAATCTCTGAGTTTATCAGACCCTACACCCACAATTCACTTAGAAGGGTAAGAGTATAGTTAAAACTCAGTTTGTAAAACATTATAAATATTTTCAAGTACACTAGTAGTATGCAAAATTAAAACATGACATGTGAATCTTTCATTCATGAGTTTATCCTCGCAAAAAATTCTACAAAACTCTTTGAAAAGTGATGAATCAAAGTAGCATTACAAATTCAAACATGTTAGTTGCATTCACAAAACAATTTCATACTACAAAAATACTAGTTTGTAAAAAGAGACTTGCCGCAGTAGAATCCAATAATATCATGTGAAATGTAGCTTCACCAAGTAGGTTCTCCCTATAAAGACAGGGGCTTTGCTCCACAACACTTCAAAAAAACATGGACAATATCTTCACGGGCAATCAAATAACATAAAAACCTCAAATCTAACAAAAAAGAATATGACAAATAAAATCCAATTCAAAAACAATAGAACATACACCAAAAATACAATTATATTTTTTGGTTTGAAGGGAATCGGGTTTGTTCAAAAATTAGCTATCGCTGCAAAAGCGACTCCTCTAAAGTGCAGATTGTTTAAATGGGAAATACAAAAATGTAATATAATACAACAATGCAAATTTAAATTATCATGGATCATAAATCTACACTTGAATTACTTAAACAGTTTAAATGGGAAATATTCACAGTTCTTTAACTTTCAAGACCCACCACACAACTTCATGTCTTCATCACTGAAAACTATCTCTTGATTCCTACATATAATTTAAGAAATGAATATGCATGTCCATGAATTTATGCTTTAGAAAGTGAGATCAACTATTTGTTGAGAGCAACTTCCAAACAACATGCTCTTACACATGTTGATATTGGTGGATAAAAGAAAATAATTAATTATCAACAGAAATGAAAACAAACCTATATATGAAGGCTCATAACTCTGTATAAACTAAGACCAAAGCCACTTGAATTCATAACTGCCATGGCAAATTATCAAACAAAAACCCCAATAGACTTCATTTGGGTGATGAGATGAAATTATACTTCTGTTTTGTTTTAAGGCTCTATGTTTGATGGAGAGAATCACCCCTGATATAAATGTCAACAAACTTGCATGTGCTCACAACATTACAATGTAATTAGTCCACCAACACCAATAAGAACAATAGATTAGGGCTAAAAGTGCAAAGTAATAATTGGAATCTATATCTTACTTTTGAAATAATTTATGGATAGGCACTTCCCAACAAAAAGATAAATTTGATTTGTTTTTCAAGGTGTGACAAACTAATGGAAACACATTTCATTTGTTTTCTTAAGTCATTCATTCTTTCTTACTCCCCCTAATCCCGCCCTTACCGAAATTTGATTTTAACAAACCAAAAGTACGATAATTGTGAAAAAAAATTAAAAGTTCATACCTACAATTTTATTCGCCTATAGCCAAGTCAAACAACCAATCAAAGGAAATAGTCAGACAATAACAATGAGCAACCATTGCTTAAATATAAGTATACAAATCAAATATTTACATCAATGTTTGGATGAGCCGACTAAGAAAATTTTGAGAAAAAAAACAAAAATTAAAAAGCTATCATGTCAATCAAACAAATAAAATACTAATGCCATCAACCAATCCAAATATATAGTACCACAAACACAGAGCTTTAAATACAAATTAAATATGTAAATTTAATATACAGACTAAATAGGTATACACAAAGGAACATTTAAAAATTCCATAAAATGTCAAGGCTCAGAGTATATAACAGCTCTTTCAATCAAGAATTTTCTGAAGCAGAACTGGCATTTGAACTGTAAAATAATCCTCACTGCCAATAACAAATTAAAAAAACCAACATAATCATTTCCAACAACATACACACTATATCAAACCAATAAAATTAAATAAAACTTTCTTTAATCTTATCAATAAAGATGATTGATTTGTATTAATTGGATTCAGGGGAAAAAAATACTAAATCAGAGATCACATAAATTGAAATTTCTAAAAGAGAAAGAATTAGGTTTTCAAAAATCATGTATGTAGCCGTCGAATTGACACAGATATAATCATAGGAAAGTGAGGTACACAGGCTAAACTGCAACACAGAAGGCCTGCGTTGAAGCACAAGCATTGGGGCTTACTTCGTCATCGATAACTATTCAGAGAAGCCCGGAAGGCATCGTGCAACACAGAGAGAACCAAACCAAACCAACAGATGCAATACACACACAAACATATATACACATTCATATAATCATTTATACAACAGAAACAAAAGGTAAAAATTATATTAGCCCTCTCTTGTATATACTAATGCAAGAGAAACAATCCAAAATTTGACAGTGTCAGATACGGAGACCTGCTCTCTCTCTCGCTCGTATGTAGAGAGATGGGAATGGCGGTGCAATTTGCCGCAAAATGGCAGCAGCGTCCGTTTGAAACCCTAAAGTAACACCGCGTCTGGCTGGGTATATATATATATAGTATTTTTTTTTTTTTTTTGATAAATTACAAATAGGTTTGTTTATATATTGAATTTTTTTTTATTTTAATTTTTAAAATCATAAGAGCTAATTTGTATTTTAGGTTGTCGTTTGGTAAAAAAAAAATTTAGTTGACTTTTTTGAGTTGAGTCTTTCAAGATTGTTTGAGATATTCTAAATAAGTATATTTTTTGACTTTTAATAAAAAGATGCATCGAAAAGTAAAGAAAGTTGATAGAAAAGTAGAGACAATATGTTGATAAATGTTGATTGATGTGACTTAAGTGTATGTATGCAAAAAAGTGTACTTTTTTAGTGCATGTCAAACAAGCACTGATTGGGACTAAAAAGTTCGAGATAGTTTTTTTTTTTACTCTTTTGAGGAAAAAAATAAAATAATTATAGTTTGAATGTGACATTTTATCTTATTGACTTTTTAGTATATTTTGTCTTTCAATATCTAATTTAGGCCAAGTTTGGGAAGTCTCAAAAAAGTAAAAAAGTTACTCAAAAAATTAAAAAGTTATCACTATTCACCAAAAGTCAACAATTACGGCTGCACAACTCTCAATACTAATTTTCTCCTACACATTAATTTATACAATTTTTTTAATACAAATTTTTCTATAAAAAGTCAAAAAATTAATCCAAACATTCATATTTCCAACCTCAACTTTTTAGTCTAAAAAGACAAAAAGTACACTTATTAAGGACACTCCAAATAATCCCTTAGTCCCAACTTAACCGAGCCTACATAGCCAAACGAAACCTAAATAAACTTTAGAGAGTGTATTTATAATTTAATTTTTTTTATATTTTCATAAACTATGCACTCGTTTGGCATAGCAAATTTTGGAGCTAAAATGTTATTTTCGTCACAAAAAGATAAAATAAGTTAAAAAATTAGTTAGATAAAATATCACATCCAAACTATAATCATTTTATTTTTTTTTCCATAAAAGTCAAAAAAGTCAAAAAATTTATCATAAACGAGACTTTTTAACCCTAAACTAAATTAACAAAAAATTTAAAAAGTCAACTCATATCCAAAATGAACCATATATATATATATATATATTTGGGAGATTTTTTTTTAAAATCCTTGATATTAAAATTTTATAAGATAAAAGAATACAATATTTTCATAGTAGTTAAGGTTCCTCAATATTTTTACAAAATTTCTCTGAGTCGGGACCGAAATTTCTGTAAGTCAGGCAAAATTGCAAAATTTCTCTGAATCGGACAAAATTTCTCAGAGTTAAATTTTTTCTGTAAAAATATTGAATGACTTTAGCAAATAAAAAAATATTTTGAATATCTCTCTACTACACAAAGTTGAAGAGAAATGTTTGTCTAATTTTCCCTATATTTTTCCGCATGTAAAACTCATAATTTTTTTTTTGTTTGCAACATATAAATAAAAGTGATAAAATATAATTGTTTTTTTCTAAGCATTTTATATGAGAATAATATGTCTTGCTATCAATAGACTATGAAAGGAAAAATAATTGGATGAAAGGAAATCAATTTCAAAATTTTAACCTCATTCGACTAGGGTGTAATATAAAGAAAAATGATGTAGACCACTAATTAGTGGTTGCACTAGGGATGTGGCAGTGGGTTCTGTGTCTTAGTTTTTTTTTTTTTTACTTGCCACATCATTAGTGGTGGTGTTAGTGGTAAAAATTTAGTGGTCTGTAGCATTGTTGTAATGTAAATACGGTATAAAATGAAATCTGTTCGGTTTATTAAAGATTTATTTGAGAGTGATTAGTTATGTAAAGTTATGTTTGGTTTTGGCTTTTCAGTTAAAAAAACACCAAAAAAACAAAATTAGCTATATGAGTCAATATGATAAAATGTTACATTTAAATCATAATCATTACACATTTTTTTTTACAAAAGTTAAAAAAACCAAAAACAAGAAAAAAGATTGGTATCTCGAAATTTGGGGCGCAAATCACCCGAATTTGATAGAAGGCGTTGGCAACCATTCTCTCTCCAAAACCCACTCCAAAATCAAACACGCGCATGTTTTTTCTCTCTCCTCTCTATCTCTCTCAGACCAGACCCAAGAAAGTTGTGATAATTGTTCTCTCTCTCCTCTCTTCAAAATGCACTCTTTTATCCCTCTTTCTCATCCCTTTCAAAATAGTTCTACAAGATGCATTCAAATAAATGCAAGATGCTCAATTATTTGCAGAACTGAGAGGGTAATTTGTAAACAAATTGGGCCGAGCTAGGAAGAGTCTTCTTTGGGAATTGGACCGCGTAATGGGCTGAGATAAGGGCTGGTGTAGCTCGGTCTTAGGCCAAGAAAATATCTCATATTTTGGGTTTGGGCCAAACTATGGACCGAGGTATCGGTAGAAAGAGGACCGAGCTAAACGATAGCTCTACAGGGCGTCATCTCGAAGTCAAGACTGATAGTAGTACTAAAAGTATCATAGAGCCAAAGTAACTTGGCTGACCGCAATATTAGCCGAGGTAAAGATGTCAGCCGAAATAAGTGGGCCTGGTGGTTAGCCGAGGTATTGGTGAGAAAGGATATCGGGCTTGGTATAGCTCGGCCGGGCGCCATCTACATCATTACTTAAGCGTGTGACCGAGGTAACTTAGCTCGGTGTGGTGGCGGCAGCTTATTAAAATGAGGTAGCATCAATGGCGAGGGTCGAGCTGTGTATAGCTCGGCAGAGTGGCATCCGTTAGATCGGCTTTCGATCACACGGTTCGAAGGGCAGAGGACCGAGATAAATCAAATTTGGGCAGGAATGTATAACCGAGGTAAAAAGTCCAGCCATCTCATTTGGCTTGCAGTGATGAGACTTCTAGCAGGACTCTGCTAAGGAGAGTTAGAGTCCTACTGGGATTGTGTAAACCATCTCACTTAGTTGGTAGTGAGTAGGAGTATGACTCCTAGGAGGACTCTGCTAAGGAGAGTATAGTCCTACTAAGATTGTGCAAAACCATCTCACTTGGTTGGTAGTGAGTAGGGTGTGTGATTCCTAGGAGGACTCTCATAGGGAGAGTTGGAATCCTACTAGGATTGTGCCAAAATAAAGTCTATAAAAGCTCATGACCAGACCTTTGTACAGGTATCCCAATTCTTACTCTAGAATACACAGAGCTTATTGTCTATTGTCTAGTTGCTGACTTAGGCATCGGAGGGGTTTCCGGCACACACCCGCCGGCTAGCTCACATTTGTGTTTTCAGGTGGCAAAGTAACGTTGTTTAGAGGAGTGCAAACTTGATCAACAGGATCATACAAGAAGGCTTATTTCTTTCCCGTACAATTGGCGCCGTCTGTGGGAAATTCACAAAGAGCAAAACCTTTTGATCAAGTTTTCCTCTCTAGTTAAAAGCAATGGCGCACAATGAAGACTTGCCACAATCTGCTATAGATGGGCAAACTCTGGAAATGGGTGGGAGGCACGAAGGTTTACCTTCTATCCCACCCATGGCGGAATTAGATCCCCAGCGAAGGAATCCGCGGAAAGAAGCAAGAAGAAGACAGGGCTCAAGTCCACACCACTCTCGGAGCCCTGATAGACAGAGGCGGAAGATAGGTCATCAGGTTCTCGAAGATCGCGTAAGGGAGCAAGACGAAGTAATAAGAAGAATAGCGGCTGACATAGAGTTTATGAAGAGCGAGATAAAAAGCAAAGGGGTGGCAACAAAAGAGGGGAGCAGAGGCAACACACACTCTTGCCATTCAGAAGATCATGACAGACAAGTCACACTATCACAAACTGAAAGTAGAAGCCTCAGGTCGGGTGATACACAATCAAAGACTTCCAGGACACGCTACTCCAGACCTGAGAGAAAGATGACTGAAAGGGCTCGAAGGAGAGAAGACACTCAGGCTCGTGACCCCCGCAGAGTCTCCGCACTACAACGATTGGCTCCTAGAACACATAGGAGTATCGAGGTTGGAATTCCAGAACCACGTCTCGCCTATGAACCAGCAGACAAAGCATTAGTAAGGTTGCAGAGCTCACCGTTCATCCCGACAATTGAGGACGCACCATTACTCTTAGGCTTCCATCAGCCTAAATTCATAACTTATGAGGGGGAGTCAGACCCCTACATACACTTAAGCCACTTTCGCCAGGTTATGGCCGTGTATCGACGAAACGAGCCTTTAATGTGTATCATGTTTCCGTCCAGCCTTGGCGACATGGGTTTAGCATGGTTTGAAAGGTTACCAGAAGGTAGTATAGCCTCATGGGTGCAACTAACAGAGGCATTTGTAACCAGATTCAGAACAAACACCAAGACGCCAGTGGAGATTGACCAGCTTCTCTCCATCAGCATGAGCAAGAAGGAAACATTAAAGTCTTACGACAATCGGTATTGGGAGACCTTCAACCAAGTAACAGATTGTCCTACAAACCTAGCTATTGCACAGTACAAGCAAGGTCTGTTAGTGGGACATAAATTGAGAGATTCAATAACAATGACGCCACCTCTTTCTATGGAAGCCCTGATGGAGCGAGTGCACCAACACACCTTGGTAAAGGAAAATGGGATGCACACCAAGGTAGAGATCGATACAAACAGTGATATCGGACAGAACACCTTCGGCAAAAGTTAGCACGGTTGGAAAGAAGGACTAACCAAGCGCAACAAGTCTTTGCCCGACTTGGGGGGCAATCAAGAAGTTTGGCAGGAATAACCAAACGCTTAGCTCTATGTTGGCCGGAATAACCAACATTTACCTCTCCTAAGCCTAGGATAAGGATCCAGGCTGCAGGACGTTTGGTCGGAATAACCAAACACTTTACTCTAGGTTGGCCGGAATAACCAACTTAGAGGTTGGCTGGAAAAACCAACACCTCTCCTAAGCCCAGGATAAGGATCCAGGCTGCAGGACGTTTGGTCGGAATAACCAAACACTTTACTATAGGTTGGCCGGAATAACCAACTTAGAGGTTGGCTGGAAAAACCAACACCCCTCCTAAGCCTAGATAAGGATCCAGACTGCAGGACGTTTGGTCGGAATAACCAAACACTTTACTCTAGGTTGGCCGGAATAACCAACTTAGAGGTTGGCTGGAAAAACCAACACTTCTCCTAAGCCCAGGATAAGGATCCAGGCTACAGGACGTTTGGCAAGGATAACCAAACACTTCACTCAGAGTTGGCCGGAATAACTAACACTGAGCTCTCTTCAGCCAAGATAAGGATCTGAACTGAAGAGATTGGCTGGAAAAATCAACACTTACTTCTCTTAAGCTGAGATAAGGATCTAGGCTGCAGGAAGTTGGCAGGTATGTCCAACAAAATTTTTGAAACTCTTTGGCCGGGATGATGGCTACCTCAGCCAAAGCAGGTTGGCAAGTTTGACCAACAAATTTTTGGAACTCTTTGACCGGGATGATGGTTACCTCGACCAAAACAGGTTGTCAAGGTTCGTATAAACCGAGTTAGCCTGTTCGGCAAGACACAGAAAGAACAACTCAACGTATACAAACTCGAAGGATATATACGTTAAAGGCAAAAAATCAGGGCTATTCAAATTTTTGGCATGACAATGGTAACAAGGAGAACAAGGATATTGGGGGCACGCCATGTATCCTGGGAATAACGTCGTACCAGATTAGTGGAAGGACATGCTAAGCAACTGACAAGGCTTATTAGGACCGAACAAGCTGTGAAACCGAATAATTTCTTAGCTCGGCTGGAGGAAAAATAATCCCAATCATGCTACGCAGATGGAATTAAGGAGCAATTGAGAGGGTAATTTGTAAACAAATTGGGCTGAGCTAGGAAGAGTCTTCTTTGGGAGTTGGACCGCGTAATGGGCTGAGATAAGGGCTGGTGTAGCTCGGTCTTAGGCCAAGAAAATATCTCATATTTTGGGTTTGGGCCGAACTATGGACCGAGGTATCGGTAGAAAGAGGACCGAGCTAAACGATAGCTTTACAGGGTGTCATCTCAAAGTCAAGACTGATAGTAGTGCTAAAAGTATCACAGAGCCGAAGTAACTTGGCTGACCGCAATATTAGCCGAGGTAAGGATGTCAACCGAAATAAGTGGGCCTGGTAGTTAGCCGAGGTATTGGTGAGAAAGGATGTCGGGCTTGGTATAGCTCGACCGGTCTTGGTATAACTCAGCCGGGCACCACTACATCATTACTTAAGCGTGTGACCAAGGTAACTTAGCTCGGTGTGGTTGCAGCAGCTTATTAAAAGGAGGTAGCATCAATGACGAGGGCCGAGCTGTGTATAGCTCGGCAGAGTGGCATCCGTTAGATCGGCTTTCGATCACACGGTCCGAAGGGCAGGGGACCGAGATAAATCAGTTCGGGCAGGAATGTATAACCGAGGTAAAAGGTTCAGCCATCTCATTTGGCTTACAGTGATGAGACTTCTAGTAGAACTCTGCTAAGGAGAGTTAGAGTCCTACTGGGATTGTGTAAACCATCTCGCTTGGTTGGTAGTGAGTAGGAGTATGACTCCTAGGAGGACTCTACTAAGGAGAGTATAGTCCTACTAGGATTGTGCAAAACCATCTCACTTGGTTGGTAGTGAGTAGGGTGTGTGATTCCTAGGAGGACTCTCATAGGGAGAGTTGGAGTCCTACTAGGATTGTGCCAAAGTAAAGTCTATAAAAGCTCATGACCAGACCTTTGTACAGGCATCCCAATTCTTACTCTAGAATACACAGAGCTTATTGTCTATTGTCTAGTTGCTGACTTAGGCATCGGAGGGGTTTCCGGCACACATCCGCCGGCTAGCTCACATTTGTGTTTTCAGGTGGCAAAGTAACGTTGTTTGGAGGAGTGTAAACTTGATCAACAAGATCAAACGAGAAGGCTTATTTCTTTCCTGTATAAGAAGAATTTGCAAGATGCAAGATGCTCAATTATATGTAGCTATGTTCGCGCATGTGAACCTCTTTCTCCTAGATGCATTCCTTTCAATCTCAGAAAAAATCAAGAAAAAAAAAAAATTCAACTTAAGAATAGAAGAAAGAAAAAATAATATGATTATGGCATCAATATGAAATAGCGGTAATCAATTAAAGTTGTACTCATCACAAACCCATCATACCCAACACATATACAAGCAAAATCACACAAGCCCATAAATATATTCGAAGAAATCAGAACTAATTGAGAGCTAATTGAAAGACAAAGTGGGATCAGAAATTTATTTTGCATTTTCTTTGAGTTTACCTGATTGGAGAAGAAAGAAAAAACAGAGAGGAATGAAAAATAGCAAGGTCCCAACAACAACAACAAGAAGGTCGCTAATCGAGAGAGAGAGAGAGAGTGGTGGACGGTGGTGGACGGTGGTGGACGGTCACTGGTCAACGGGGAACACCATGGTCGGTCGCTCGACTTCAGAGGCAACGCAGCTATGTTCTCACATTCAACTTCATGGTCCTCTCTCTCTCTCTCTCTCTCTCTCTCTCTCTCCCCTTTCTCCTCTTTCATCTCTCTTACGTTTTTTTGTTTTGTAAACGCGTGGGTTTCACGCTGACTTGGGGCAAATGGGCCAAACCCTACAATAACAGATTCCAACTCATTCGAGCCATTCAGGGGAGGTTTATTCGAGCTACATAGCGGATCTACAAAAACAAAAATCAAACAAGGTTAAAATAATCAAAAAATTAAAAAGTCAGGTTATTTTAGCTCTTTTCAAATAAAGACTAAGGGTTCGTTTGGCAATAAATTTTTTAGTTGATTTTTTGATTTTTTTAACTTTTTTAGCCTGAGACTTTTTTGTTTGTTTGATTTTTTTCTGACCTTATTGACTTTTTGACTTTAGATTGACAAACTTTTTGTAAATTTTTTTTTTTGGTTGTCTTTTTATGATTATTTACCCCAAAGAATTTGCCAAATTAGGGCTAAATAAATCAAATTTTAATTTTAACAATAATTGATTATTCCATCCTACTCAGTTATAATATTCCGCCAAGATAGTTGGGATTAGTCTAGCCTATTAAAAGACAAAATAAGTTAAAAAATTAATAAAATAAAATATCACATTCAAATCATAAAATTCTCTCACAAAATTACAAAAAAGTTAAAAATTTATCCCAAATAAAACTTTGTTAACTAGACTAAAATAGTCAAAATGTTAAAAATTCAAGCTAATTTTTTTTTTCCCAAATGAACGTATACAAAAAAAAAAAAAAAAATTATTATTATTATTATTTTCATTAAACCAATGCAGTTAAAATATTCCCATTTACAAAAAGGTTATTATTTTATTTATTTTTAACTAAACCAAGTTATTCATTTAAATGAACTTAGTTTGAATTCAAACCAAACTTAAATAATTTACTACTCCACTTCACTCTTCTCAATTGTAGCTTAGACGTAAAACAAACAAGTGTAAATAATAAGCTGACCATTAGCTTCCGTTTGAGAAGTGGGTTGACTTTTTAGCTTTTTAATTTTTTTGACTATTTTAGTTTGGGCTAAAAAACTTGGTTTGGGAAGAACTTTTTGACTTTTTAACTTTTTTAGTTTTTTTTGATAGAGAAGAGTGTAATGATTATGGGTTGGAGGTGATGTTTTGTTTGTTGTGGCTAAAATAGCCTATTTTGTGTTTTGTGGCTAAAATAGCCAAAAAAGCTCTTGCCAAACGGAGATGATTTGAATTGTTCAAAAATCAAAAATCATTGACCACAATTTAATTCGTGAATTAAGAATAAAAAAGGAATTATATTGAACCAAATCGAGCCATTTTTTTCCTTTTTTATATTAATTTAATAGGTAAAGTAAAATGCATTAAGATGTTGTGAGGACATTATGCACCTAATGGTTCTACATGCGCTAAATAATATACCAACATATATTATAACATTATTATTTTAAAATTATGATCTCATCCATTATACAAATTATACCTAACCAAAACTTTTTAAATTATACTGCATCATCTGTTAATATACTAGTTGATATATATATACACCAAACAACTAAATTCATCCAAATTTGTGAGCATCAAACACCAACAAATATTAATCTAAAACGGTGGCTAGTAATAAAAGTTTTTCATTCAATACACAATAGTGCACTTGCTTATTCCAAGGAAAATTATAACGCAGACAAAACCACTAAATTAGGAGGATAAAAGTCCATGACACCAACAAACATATTGCAGGTCTGAGACACTTACAAGGTGCAAGTGTTTCAGTACACTTCTTATATTTGTAGGTGTCACAAGTACTTCAGACATTTATTTACTGCCTATGCCCCAAGTACTAATATCAAGATAAAACTGACGAGCATCAAATTTTTAAAACAAAAATGTGGCAACTGAAAACATGTATAGTTAATCTAGTTTTCAGCTGAAAGATATTTGAGCATCTCGAGAGGCTCTAGGGAATGATAGCAACTCCTGAGTAAGCAGGAACATCAGCTTTAGCTTCTTACTTTCTGACTTGCCAAAGTCGACACCCTTACAGGTTGTAATGATCAATTTCTCCAACACCTTTGAGTTCTTCAGCAAGAATCTCAGAAAATTCATCTCATTTTGTAGCTTCTCAAGCAATTCTTCAGTTTTAGTACTCGTGTGTACATCCAGATCACTCATGAAGTTGTACAGTTTAACTGTCTTCAGATTCCCCAACAGATTGAGAAAATTTGGCTCCTGCAGTTTCCAGAATTCTCCATCTCCAAAATTAAATTTATAATTTGACTTGTCATTTGGCTGCAAATTGTGAAACTACTATCTCTTCAACAAATCTAAGTAAAATAAACTAAAAATGGGAAAAAAAGAAAAAAACCAAGTCACCTTTTTTCCTTCATTCTTGTCGATACTAATGATCAGAGTCTCAATATTTGGTGAATGTTTCAGCATGTAGTCAATTCCTGTTAACTCCCATTTTGTCAACCCTGTCTTTATCCTTAGACATGTGACAGCAAAGGTTATAAAATCTTGACCTTCACCACTGGACAGAGCCTGATCATTTGCAGACAAAAATAATAATTAAAAAAAAATAGTGAAGCATATAATCAAAAGCTTATATTTTATTTACAGCAAAAAATAGAAAAATGACTGTCCAAGGAATTCACGTTTTGTACCAGAATGTAGCAGCTACATAATCTAAGCTCTTTAACATGACAAACTTCATCAAGAATCTGAACAATGGTTCGCCTCCTATCATCTTCATTGAATTTCAAACCAGGCATTCCATCGCAATCAAAGCTTGCACTTTCAAGAGATCGCAATTCCTTGATGACATAGTTTTTCCTAGACAAGCTCGTAACGAGTTCAAAGGAAACAACAAATGGAGCATAAACATCTAACTTGGAATCTGAATTCCAAGTATAACTTTCATGTATCTTTAAGGTTTTCATACTGGCTTTAAAGATAAAGAGATTGAGATCGGTTCTGCTTTCACAATTTGTCAGAGACAAATATTCAAGAATTGGACTCGAAGATATCAAATCATTAATAGCCCCACCAATCAAGTAGATTCCCTCAAGTGAAAGGATTTTAAGCGAAATGAGGTTGAAGTTGGTCGGGAAGTTTATAATGCAATTTTTCAGCGTCAAAACCGTCAGCGATTTACAGCTGAATATAAAGGTAGGCAACTCATAGCGATGCCTCCTTTTACAGGGGAAATCAAGGTAGAGTTCATTTACATCGCGTGCTATGGCAAAGTGGATCCACGAATCAACTTGGTGAGCGTGTGCGCCGTTGTAGTCGAAAGTGATGTCGAACTTCTGAATTTTGGGACCCTTGTGAAGAAGCAAAGTTCGATTGATGAAACCTACTTCTTTGTATTTTTGCTTTTTCATTGGTGAAAACTTTAAACAAGTGATAGATAACCATATATATCTCCATCTCTTTGCCAAAACACTTGCCCTGATTACTTCCTTCATTGTTAAGTATGAAAGAATAAGGTGAAGTAAAGGATCTGGCAATTCAGTAAGACAATCGCGAGTCTCGTCAACTGTTTGGGCCTTCTTCTTCTTCTTCTTCGAACTCTTTGACTTTATATATGGTTCCTCCATGACCTTGCAAATATTCACAAAATGATTGGCCCAAATTAGAAGCAGTTGTTTAGGGTAAATTGAATAGCATTACTATTTCGCCATAATTAGAATTGGGGAAGACAAGGACACTAGGACAAAATATTGGAGGACTCCTTTGCTAGTATTTATGGGATGCATTTTATAAAGAATGTGCAATAATTTTAAACTTCTTAACAAGTATAGATAGAATTCTCGTTAACAAAATATTTTTTTAAATGTACTTTTCTGTTGCAACTTATCAGAAGAACAGAACTACTAAAATTAGGTGCATATGAAGAAACACAATTTTGTCATAATACTCCACAAACAGATGACTACAACGCAATAGTGTATTTTGAAGAAAAACAAAAAAAAAAAAAAAGAAAAAAAAGAAAAAGAAAAAACAGAGATGGAAACAAGCATAATTTTTGTATCTGAATTCATTGAATACCTTCAAATTTCGCTGACTTCTCTAGTTCAAGTAGTTGATTGATGAAGAGCCATAAACGCACAGACATAGCATATATATAGTATGCACACACGCAGACACAATGAACCAAATGGTTCAACTTCCCTTATCCTGGAGCTGAGAAGTCAGATCTGTGCATGAATGCAGCAAATGATGTCTCGGCTTACGAGAGGCCACATTTCTGGGTACAATGAACAGAATAATCATCAATATAATATCAAATCAGAAAATTTTTACTTCAAATTGAATCCTCCCTCTGCAACCCAACCAAGTGGAAAATGCTATAAACCCCAAATGAATTACTAAATATTCTACCAAAACTCTCACATCAGGCCGTTCCTGAGATTTAGGGGGCCTAAGGTAAATTTTGAAAATGAGGCCCTCTTACATTGAAAAAAAAAAAGTTTATGGATAAAACAATAAGTTATAACTTTTTTATTTGTTTGTAGCCACAAAAAAATTTACTTGCACATATAATCATTAAAATTATAAACAAAACAATTTAATGAAACAAAATTAGGGCAAAAAAATTAGAAAAAAATTATTCAATTAAAACTGATAAAGACCTAGGTAAAAAAATTGGGGCAAAATTATTTATTCCACTAAAATCTAATAGATAAAGAAGTAAAAAAAAAATAAAATTAGGGCCCATATATTGTATGTATTGTTCTTCTTGGACCCAAACACTTTTTTTTTTTTTCAAATACATATTTTCATTTTAATAAATATGGGCTAAACTACACTTATAAATAAATATGGCCTAAACCATACATGGACCCAATAAAATATTTTGGGACCCTTTAAATTGATCCTAAAAAAATAAAAATAATAAAAATTAAAAATAAACATTGAGCCTATAACATTTTACTAAATTTGGGGGCCCTATTTTTTGGTCAAAATTTTGGGGCCTAAGGCATAGGCCTTACTTGGCCTTAGGCCAGGGCCGGCCCTGCATGGGTGTGGGACATACACACATGTGATTTGTATGGGTCCCATATCGATGTGAGAGGTTGGTAGAATATATTTGATAATTCATTTGGGGTCCCAATCATTACTCCAACCAAATATTTGCAAGTTAAATGTTGGTGCACAAAATCTCAGGTTCCAACCGACAAAAGAGAAAGGAACTCTCAACACAAAATGGAATGCTTCTACACATGTTAGCGTCCAGTCTAGAAACACAATAATTCTGTTAAACAGAACAATCAATAGAAGCTTCGTTAATTTAAAGGCTTAATGAAGAAACTAGTTCAATGGTTCGTTTGGCAAATTAGGTGAGAAAAGTAAAGAAATGATTGTGATTTTATTATTTTTTTTGAATTAATAATAAATAAAAGAAGACACGTGTCAATTTATTTTTAATGTTCTGTATTTAGATGAAACATTAAACATACAACAAATTTCATTTAATGTGACATATTTTTCTTACCATTTTTCACCTACTCAATCATCCATACAAGTGATGAGAATCTTCTCTCTCTAGAAAAATTTATTCTGTTTTTGTATTTAGATGGCCAATTTAGATATGTTTGGGGGGAAAAATTATGTAGCAACTTTCATTTGGGAACGAAAAGGTAAGACTATTTGATATTATTAGCTATCAAAATATGAGTTAGGCCTGTAAGACTGGCTGGCAAACTCTAATGTATGTACATATATTTTCCAAACTTCTTCATTAGTTCAGCATAGTAAAGGTATCATCCAAGCACATGCATACTTGAACTTTGCTTTCTTCTCACTTCCGTTTGAGAAGTGGGTTGACTTTTTAGCTTTTTAATTTTTTTGACTATTTTAGTTTGGGCTAAAAAACTTGGTTTGGGAAGAACTTTTTGACTTTTTAACTTTTTTAGTTTTTTTTGATAGAGAAGAGTGTAATGATTATGGGTTGGAGGTGATGTTTTGTTTGTTGTGGCTAAAATAGCCTATTTTGTGTTTTGTGGCTAAAATAGCCAAAAAAGCTCTTGCCAAACGGAGATGATTTGAATTGTTCAAAAATCAAAAATCATTGACCACAATTTAATTCGTGAATTAAGAATAAAAAAGGAATTATATTGAACCAAATCGAGCCATTTTTTTCCTTTTTTATATTAATTTAATAGGTAAAGTAAAATGCATCAAGATGTTGTGAGGACATTATGCACCTAATGGTTCTACATGCGCTAAATAATATACCAACATATATTATAACATTATTATTTTAAAATTATGATCTCATCCATTATACAAATTATACCTAACCAAAACTTTTTAAATTATACTGCATCATCTGTTAATATACTAGTTGATATATATATACACCAAACAACTAAATTCATCCAAATTTGTGAGCATCAAACACCAAAATATTAATCTACACTGGTGGATAGTAATAAACGTTTTTCATTCAATACACAATTAGTGCACTAGCTTATTCCGAGGAAAATTAGAACGCAGACAAAAGCTGGGAAGGTGCAAAGTGCAAACATCAAATGTGAGTGTTTCAGTACACTTCTTATATTTGTCGGTGTCACAAGTACTTAGACATTTATTTACTGCCTATGCCACAAGAAGTACTAGTATCAAGATAAAACTGACAAGCATCAAATTTTTAAAACAAAAATGTGGCAACTGAAAACATGTATAGTTAATCTAGTTTTCAGCTGAAAGATATTTGAGCATCTCGAGAGGCTCTAGGGAATGATAGCAACTCCTGAGTAAGCAGGAACATCAGCTTTAGCTTCTTACTTTCTGACTTGCCAAAGTCGACACCCTTACAGGTTGTAATGATCAATTTCTCCAACACCTTTGAGTTCTTCAGCAAGAATCTCAGAAAATTCATCTCATTTTGTAGCTTCTCAAGCAATTCTTCAGTTTTAGTACTCGTGTGTACATCCAGATCACTCATGAAGTTGTACAGTTTAACTGTCTTCAGATTCCCCAACAGATTGAGAAAATTTGGCTCCTGCAGTTTCCAGAATTCTCCATCTCCAAAATTAAATTTATAATTTGACTTGTCATTTGGCTGCAAATTGTGAAACTACCATCTCTTCAACAAATCTAAGTGAAATAAACTAAAAATGGGAAAAAAAAAAAAAAAAATCAACTATAGCATATTCACCTTTTCTCCTTCATTCTTGTCAATACTAATGATCAGAGTCTCAATATTTGGTGAATGTTTCAGCATGTAATCAATTCCTGGTAACTCCCATTTTGTCAACCCTGTCTTTATCCTTAGACATGTGACAGCAAAGGTAATAAAATCTTGACCTTCACCACTAGACAGAGCCTGATCATTTGCAGACAAAAATAATAATTAAAAAAAATAGTGAAGCATACAATCAAAAGCTTACATTTTATTCACAGCAAAAAATAGATAAATGACTGTCCAAGGAATTCATGTTTTGTACCAGAATGTAGCAGCTACATAATCTAAGCTCTTTAACATGATGGACTTCATCAAGAATCTGAACAATGCTTTGCCTCTTATCCTCTGCATTGAATTGCAAACCAGGCGTTCCAATGCAATCAAAGCTTGCACTTTCAAGAGATTGCATTTTCTTCATGACATAGTTTTTCCCAGACATGTTCGTAACAAGTTCAAAGGAAACAATAAACGGAGCATAAACATCTAACTTAGAACTCTGACTGTAATAATGACTTTCATATATCTTTAAGGTCTTCATACCGACTTTAAAGATAGAGAGATAGAGGTCACTACTGCTTAAACAATTTGTCAGAGACAAATATTCAAGAATTGGACTCGAAGATATCAAATCACTAATATCCCCACCAATGAAGAAGACATGCTCAAGTGAAAGGATTTTAAGGGAACTGGGGATGAAGTTGACTGGGATCCTTATAACACAATGTTTCAGTGCCAAGACCGTCAGTGATCTACAGCTGAATATAAAGTGAGGCAACTTGTAGCCATATCGAAACAGACAGCTCCTTTTACAGGGGAAATCAAGATAGAGTTCATTTACATTGCGTGCTATGGCAAAGTGGATCCATGAATCAACTTGGTGCGCATGTGCAGGGTTGTAGACAAAAGTGATGCTGAACTTCTGAATCTTGGGACCCTTGTGAAGAAGCAAAGTTCGATTGATGAAACCTACTTCTTTGTATTTTTGCTTTTTCATTGGCAAAAATTTTAAACAAGTGATAGATAACCATATATATCTCCACCTCTTTGACAAAACACTGGTTTTGATCACATCCTTCATGGTTAAGTATGAAAGAATGTTGTGAAGTAAAGGTTCTGGCAATTCAGTAAGACAATCGCGATCGCGAGTCTCCTCAACCGTTTGGGCCTTCTTCTTCTTCTTTGAACTCTTTGAATTTTTTACTACATATGTTGCCTCCATGACCTTGCAAATATTCAGAAAACGGTTTGCCCAAATTAGAAGCAGTAGTTTAGCATAAATTGAATAGCATTACTATCTCGCCCTACTTAGAAATGGGGAAGACATGGAGACTATGACAAAATATTGGGGAACTCCTTTGCTAGTATTTATGGCATGCATTTTTATAGAGAATGGACAACAATTTTAAACTTCTTAACAAGTACAAGTAGGATGCTCATTAACAAAATATTTTTTAAAATGTATTTTTCTGTTGCAACTTATCAGAAAACTGCAGGAACATTACAACTAAAATTAGGTGCATACAAACAAACACAATTTTTTCATAATACTCCACAAACAGATGACTACAAAACACTTCTGTATTTTGATAAAAAAAAAAAAAAAAAAGGAGATAAAATATGAAAGCACAATAAAACAAGCATAATTTTTGTATCTGAATTCATTGAATACCTTCAAATTTCACCGACTTCTCTAGTTCTAGAAGTTAATTGATGAAGAGCCATAAACACACAGACATAGCATATATATAGTATGCACACACACAAATACAATGAACCAAATGGTTCAACTTCCCTTATCCTGGAGCTGAGAGGTCAGCTCTGTGCATGAATGCAGCAAATGATGTCTCAGGTTACGAGAGGCCACATTTCTAGGGATGGCAATGGGGATTAATGGGGTGGATATTAATTCCCCATCCCCATTTCCCTATAATAAATTTTTCCTATTCCCCATTCTCCATTCCCCATGGGTACCACCCTCCCCATTTCTTAATGGGTTTGGATTTTCCCCAACCCACTTTAATCCCCATTTTTATTTTATTTTTATTTTTTATATTTAACGTTAACAACTTTTTTTTTTTTTTTTTTTAAGGTTCACAACAAAAGCTAAATATACCTTCAATCTTTTTTCTTTCGTTTTTAATATATTTAATGTTAACAACTTATTTTTTTATTTTTTTTTAGGTTCACAACAAAAGCTAAATATACATTCAATCTTATTTATTTTATTTGGTTCAACAACAAAATCAAATACACATTAATTAATTAATTAAAAAGTTTGTTTTATAATAATCAAATATATAATTTTGAGACAATCAAATAAGTTTTAGTAAATTAAAAAAAAAGTGAGAAGAACGTGGAAGATATAAAAAAAAATTACAAACCTATCTCTCTCTCTCAACTCACACTCTTTCCCCCTAACATGTAAGTAAGATCTGTTTACAATGATTATAAAGAGCCACTTGTTTAGACAAGAAATATGAAATGTGAAAGAAAACCTGTTAGGACATGTTCAAACCATCTTCCTCTTAGACAAATTTGAACCATTCATTTATAATTTATCCAAATCTAGATTATACCTTTTAACAAATCTGAACCACTCGATTTTAAGATATCTATGGCCGGTAACCAACATCACAAGTCATCGATCCTCCATCTTCTTCCTTTATCCCCCACGAATTTTGTTGTTGTCGTCTACTTTTTAAAAAACAAAAATATATTTTTTCTCATTAAATTTTTTACTAATTTCCACAAACACCATCACACTCATTCTCTCAGCTTCACTGTCACACTACCATGCACAGTACGCCATCTCATAACCATCAGTTCACTTGAACGCCATCCCCCCCCCCTATGTAAGACAAATGTTCTACTTTCACCTCTCGTTCAGCGATCACCACCAGCCTTAACCTGATAATATAAAAATATATTTTTGAACCTTTGTTTTATATATAAAAAAAAGATATTGTTTCCTATTAAAAATATTTTCCTATCTAAATATACATGAGAGAGCTTCATTCAACTATGGGAAACAATGTATATCAGTTTAAATACTTCATTACTAAGACAAAATTCTTTTAATTTAAAACATAAAATTGATTTTGCTAATGTACTTGGTTATCCCTTTTGTTTTTTCTAATGCAAATAAATTCTTATGTACCATACAATTCTCTAACACAATCACAACTCAATGCTTGTTTTGATATTTCTCTACAATTTTCACTTACTTTTCATAATTAGCATATATATTATATATACAATACTCACCTTTTTCATTTAAATTGTGTGCAATAACATAAAACAATATTAAAAATGGTTTTATTTAAAATAGATATTTGTTGTTATGATATAAGGAGGATTTGGGATAAATTAGGTTTGTAGCTTAATATAAAAGGTTTCTATGTTGAGGAAGTTAATTCAACTAATTCGTTAAACTATGAAAAATCTTCAGAACAAGCATAATCCATTGAAATAATTTACAATATCACAACTGAGAGGGTAATTTAGATCTGGCATTTGGGCCGAAGGTAACGGCCGCTTGTGATATGTCAAGAGTTGCAGGCTCCCAACGGTGCATCCCTGGGCGCTTTGTGATTTATGGATAGTAAGCTGAAATAAGAGGCCTTCTTGCCTTTGAAAGTAATGGAGAGTGAGCCTATTTTAGGCCAGACACTTCTTGTGGGCACGTGGGACAATACGAGTTTGGACCTGTGTGCCACCCTGGAAGATTCCGTTCAGAGAAAACAGTTCCGTTCGAGGAGGTGGTGACCGATAAACCAAACTGAAGGGACTGATAACAAGGATCCACGAAAGATAGAGAAAATTTGCCAGCCCAGACCAGATAACCCTGTAGTCTGAATTTCCGTTGAACGCCTCGAAAAGTGCTAGTTTTATCTGATATAAAATACCGAGTAAAAAGGTAAGTTGTAAGCTGACCGGGACAAGGATTGGGAGCCTGATCAAAAAGAGAAGGTGAGTGGGGGCGTAGGGCTCGGCCTATGGGAAGATGATCAGCCTATGTTTTTAAGACCCGGTACTCTTGGGAGGCTGTACTCGTTGTGATATATCCGTTAAAAGCGCTTGAAGTATGAAGCATGGTATGACTCGATGTAAGGGCAGCTCGGCTGCCGAGCTCTTGAACCAGCTGTGATGACAGGCAGTTGAGTTAGGTGATGAATGGCATGTTATGCTGACAGATGGGATAGTAAGAGCCCGTGTCAGGAGAGATGACTGGGAGTGGATATGGGGCTCAGAAGGTATATAAGCATGTCTGCGCCCCCCATACGCAACACACGAACACTCTGTAAGAAATCTTACACCCAAACACTCTCTCCCTTCTCTCTAGCTATCCTCTGTGTGGTGTGTTCTAACTTGATCGTGGAGGGTTTTTCCGGCCACACACCGCCGGGAGCTCACCCTTATTGCTCGCAGGTATCGGACATCGACGGAGCTCGGAAGAAAGGAGTACGGGCTTGCCGGAATATTTGCTCCCCGTACAACAACAAAATAAAATAACATTAGAAAAAGCAAACCGAAACCTACACTAGACAGTGTCCTTAATTTTTTTTAAATAAATTTAAAAATTCTAGATATGCATAAAATTTGACAAGAATAATGTTGACAATGTTAATTAAAGTGTATTTATTTTTTATTATTGAGCCAAATAAAATAAATAAGATTGAATGTATAGCTTTGGTTGTGAATCTTAAAAAAAAAAATGGTTGTGAACCTTAAAAAAAAAAATTTAAAAAAAAGAAAAAAAAATTAAATTATATTTAGCTTTGGTTGTGAATTTTTAAAAAAAAAAAAATTAAAAGAAAAAGATTAAATGTATATTTAGCTTTGGTTGTAATCTTAAAAATTAAAAAAAAAATGGTTGTAACCTATAAATAAAAAATAAAAGAATTGGAAACTCATATTAGCTTCGTGTGATTTGGTGGAGAATACTTAATATTGAAAAAAATAAAAAAAAAAAAAAAAAAAAAAAAAAAAATTTGGTTGTGAACCTGAAAAAATAAATAAATAAAAAAAAGAAAAAAAGATTGAATGTATATTTAGTTTTAGTTGTGAATTAAAAAAAAAAAAAACATATGGGGAAATTAGTGGGTACCCATCCCCAACCCATCCCCTGTGGATATTTAAAGAATATCACCTACCATACCCAATGGATAAGAAAAAGAGGGGAAAACCCATGTATTTGGGTTGGATCTCCATGGATACCCACAGGGTAGGTTATCCATTGCCATCCCTACACATTTCTGGGTACAATGAACAGAATAATCATCAATATAATATCAAATCAGAAAATTTTTACTTTAAATTGAATCCTCCCTCTGTAACACAACCAAATACTTGCAAGTTAAATGTTGGTGCACAGAATCTCAAGTTCCAACCCACAAAAGAGAAAGGAACTCTCAACACAAAATGGAATGCTTCTACACATGTTAGCGTCCAGTCTAGAAACATAATGTAATTCTGTTAACAGAATAATCAATAGAAGCTTCGTTAATTCAAAGGCTTAATGAAGAAACAAGTTCAATGGTTCGTTTGGCAAATTAGATGAGAAAAGAAAAGAAATGATTGTGATTGTATTATTTTTTCTGAATTAATAATAAATAAAAGAAGACACGTGTCAATTTATTATTAATGTTCTGTATTTAGATGGACAATTTAACTATTCAACAAATTTCATTTAATGTGACATCTTTTTCTCACCATTTTCACCTACTCAATCATCCAAACAAGTGATGAGAATCCTCTTTCTCTCTAAAAAATTTTATTTTGTTTTTGTATTTAGATGGCCAATTTAGCTATGTTTGGGGGAAAAAATTATGTAGCAACTTTCATTTGGGAACGAAAAGGTAAGACTATTTGATATTATTAGCTATCAAAATATGGGTTAGGCCTGTAAGACTGGCTGGCAAACTCTGATGTATGTACATATATTTTCCAAACTTCTTCATTAGTTCAGCATAGTAAAGGTATCATCCAAGCACATGCATACTTGAACTTTGCTTTCTTCTCAAGATGCAGTAACAGATACAATAGTATTTCCAGTGCTGTGCTTGGGTTAGGTAGTGTGTGACACAACAATGATTAGTGCCTAAGAGGATGGGTTAGTTTCCCAGGTAAAACAAGACAGACCAACCCAGTAAATTAACAAAAAAAATTATGTTTGTGCACATCAACAAACATACCAGGGAGTGTATTTTTCAAAACATT